CCAGCACGGCCCCAGGGGACCCCCGCCGCGGGCTGGGGGCCCGGCCCAGGCCTCCGAGGGTCTCGGAAAGAGCAGGACACGAGGCGGAAACGAAATCCTCCGTGTGTTATCGGGGAGAGGGGCTCAAACCATTCTGGGCACCGAGGGGGCTGCGGGCTTGGACGGACAGTGCTTCTTGGGCTGACTTCTTTGCTTGAGCGTCTTGGGCTTCTCTTTGGGGGGCGCCGCGCTCTCCAGGTCTTTTCTGGACTGGTTCTTGAGCGAGGACACGAGTAAGGCACACTGCAACGCGGATCGGGAGGGTCAGCGGCACCCTGGCCACAGCCCCCCCACCCCCGACCCCCAGGCAGGGGACAGACACACGCAGGCCACACACAGAGCAGGAGACTGGGTGCACGCGGGCCCCTGGACTCTTCTCTCTGTCCCTAGAATGCCTCTGGGGCAGGGGCACTGCAGCATCCCTATCGGTCAGTGCTGTGTGGAGGGCCCCGGACGCACCAGGCCCTGGGCTACCTAACGCCTGGGCAAAGCCTTGCGCCAACGATGCTGGCCAGGCAGGTACAGAGGAGGAAGCCAAAGATCCTGGCGCTTAAGGGACGTGCCCAAGGCCAGACTACTGGGATGCAGAGGACCTTCAACTCGCACCCAGGTGTGTCCATTCCTGAGCCTGCGCTGCTTCCAGACGTGGACCTGGCGTCCACGTGTGCCTGGCGGCTGGCCGCCTGCCCAGGCTGTCTCCCGGCGCTGGCAGGATAGTGGCGTTTACACCCGTTCCCCGGCCCGCACGTGTTCTCACCCGCTGGAAAGGCTCTCTAATAATTATTGACAACCAAAGGAGAGGACAGCTAGGGCACACCTAGGGGAGGCTCGGCCTGCCCGTGAAGGTGTGGCCCCGGCCCCTGGGGGAACTCACCATGTGTGTCCTGCAAATGGTGGTAATTACATTAAGAGCCAGGCTGAGGCTCCTTCGCAGGCCCCTCCCACCTCCCTACCTTGACCATGACACCCACCTGCCCTCTGTCCACCCCATGGCTTGAACTGCCCACCCTTATCTTTTCCCACTTGCCTGAAGGACATGCCTGCTTGTCTCACAAGCCCTGCAGACTCACCTTTGTCCAGCTGGCCCTCGACCCCCAACCAAACCGGGCTCCTCCTCCCTTGTCTCTCCCGGGGTCAAGTCCGTGGCAGGGCGGTCTACCTGGTCCCCCGGCGAGGAACTCGGGACTTACTCTGGGATTTCTCCTTCCCCCTCGCCCCACACATTCAATCGGCCACACGTCTGGGCGGTTCCTCCCTAAATGTTCTCATGTCCGTTCCCTTATTTCTTCTCGTTGCTCCTGACACGCTCTGGCAGGTCCCCACCTCTCAACTCCCTTCTCTGGGGCAGTGCCATTTCAGTGAGTCTGGCATAACACGGAGCAATCCACGGACGATGGGGGAGGGGAGTGGCAGGCGGGAGGAGCAGCAGCAGGTGCAAAGGCCCTGAGTTCTGGCATGAGCAATGTGTTCAAGGAACTCAGAGGAGGCCAGAAGGGACAGCACACAGACCTACGACCAACGGCATGAGCGATGTGTTCAAGGAACTCAGAGGCCAGAAGGGACAGCACACAGACCTACGACCAACGCCATGCAGGACACCCCACGTTCCATCTGAAGCCTTGGGGTCAGTGGACATCTAAGTCCTTGGCCTGCCTTCAGCACGATTCCCGTTAAGCCCATTTGGCAAGGACTCTCCCTTGTCCTTGAAAGCTAATCGGGTCTCTCTTAGCAATATTCCATGCATGGCCCCGCCACTCGGCCCATTGGCTACAAATCCCCACGTCTCTGCTGTGTGACGGTTGAGGACTCTCTCCCTGCCGTGTTGCATAAAGTCTTTCTTGCTGTTTTTCACAAGCACCCGGGGCAATTCGTGTGTCTTTAACACTGCCACCACCAGAAACTAGGAAGGAATTCCACCCAGGGCCTTCAGAGGGAACATGGCCCTTCTGACTTCTAGGCTCGGGCACTGGGAGCGAATAAATGTCTGCTGCCGGAAGCCACCCAGTCCGAGGCACTGTGCGTGGCAGCCCCAGGAACAACACAGAGAAGCCGGCGCAGCCGTCGGCCCGCCCTCCGAAGGCATACCTTCTCGGAGTAGTTGAGAGCCTTTTCCATCTCCGACATGATGGCGTTGATATCATCGCTCTCGTAAATGCCTGGAAACAGAGCGCATCGCCAGCGTGGGGGAGGGGCGGAGATGCCGGCTGGTGTCTGGGTCTGCACGTAAGAGGGTGTGGACAGGTGACCCGCAGGGTGGGGTCTGCGCTGAGCAGCCCCCGCCCCTCCACAGTCCAGTGGTAGTTACCGAGAGTGGGGCTGGCCCGGCACCCAGCCAAGAGCGCACACCCACAGGGAGAGCCGGTCAGGAGCAAAGGCCCTACTACTCCAGTGAATCAGAGACCGACCTTGGGACTGTGAGTGACCAATGTCTATAATGAATACTGACGACTAGTTCCAGAGGGACTCGAGCGTAATGCTAAGAAGACCGACTTCGGAGCCGACCCGCCCGCCTGGCTTCAGCTCCTGGTTCCACCACTGACGGCCTACGTGCTTTGGGGCTGTGCTTCTGCTCCCCCATCTACAGAATGGGGGTAATAATGACGCGCTTCACGGCATTACTGCGAGGGACGAGTCGTGACACGTAAAATGCTTAGAACCGCGTCTGGCATGGAATAACCGTTTTGTAAGGGTTTGCTACGATTAGTAGTAATATTATCAGGAGCAGTGATATTAGTAATTACTAGTATTGGTGATTATTGGTAAAAACCACCAATAGTAATTTAAATGTATATGCCAAACACTTTTCATGGAAAAAGTGGGCCCCAGAGCTCCAGCCCTAGCTCTGCCACCAACTTCGTAACCAGAGGCATCTCGGGTTCTGAGGTGTCATTTCTTCATCTGTAAGTCAGAGAGGTTGGGATGCACTCACCCACCCATCACTGTCATAATTTTGCTTTACCTGGATACCACTTAAACCACTAATTTATATTTTTTATCAATTCACTTTTGTTTACTTAAAAGTAGATAGACATTATTGAGATATAACTGACATATAGCATTATATTCATTGTAGGTATATAACATAATGATTCGAAATTTGTATATAGAGCTGACCCTTGAACAACACAGATTTGAACTGCACGTGCCCACTTATACACGGATTTTTCCAATAAATGCTATAAATGTATTTTTCTCTTTCTTAAGATTTTCCTAATAACTTTGTTTTCTCTAGCTTGCTTTATTGTAATAATACAGTATTTAATAAGTATAACTTAGAAAATATGTGTCATTGGCTGCTTATGTGATCGGTGACACTTCTGGTCAACAGTGGGCTCTTAGCCGTTAAGTTTTTGGGGAGTCAAAAGTTCTATGTGGATTTTTGCCATCACAGGTGCCGGGGGCCCTTAACCCCTCATTGTTCAAGGGTTAACGGTATTGCAAAATGATCACCACAATAAGTCTAGTTAGCATCTTTACAAATGCATCTTTAAAAAACGCTATGTCACTGCCGACCATGGAAAAACTAGCATTTATTTTAATGAAGTGTTAAAACGAGACTGTAACCACTATTTACGGGAGGGAAAAAACTTTTCCCTCCTAGGTTCTCTGGCTGGGGCCTGGGAAGTTAAACTGATACAAAACAGATTAGCAGGAGGAAAGCAGTGTTTATGGATGAGGGCAGCATGCGAGTGTGTGGGAGCAGGGCTTGGGGCTCACGCAGCATCTCGGCAAAGGACCATGCGGTTTGTACAGCGGGGACGGGAAGACGGGGCGGCAGGCTTTTAGAGGCAGTGACCTGTGGGACGGTGAATGCGGGGGTGGCGGGGGCTGACGGAGACGGGGCTGTCTTGGTAAGGTCTGTTACGGAGACTCCTCTGGGTGCGCTCTGGGTGGGGGAGAACCTGGAGTTGTGGCCGGTGATTCAGAGTCTAAGAGTCACTGTCCTCTTGGGGCACTGGAGCTGGAGATCCCTCTACAAATGTAAATTTATGTCCTGCTTTTTAAGCAATTGGAGCAGGGTGCAGAGTGCTTTTCTGGCATTTGATGTTCCTCAACTGTCTTCGATTCAAAATAATGGTTATGCCCAAGGGGCATGTTTTGGGGTGGCATAGTCTGATCCCCAACAACCATCACAAGAGGAAAACCCGTTGCTCCATGTTCCACTGTCTTGCCAACCACCTGCGGTGAACACTCCTCGTTTTGGGAAAAAGGGGCCTCAGGGTCCCTTCCAACGCTAAAGCATTTAAAAACGGTTTTACTTTTTTTTTTTCACTTAAAAAAAAAAACTGTGGTGAAATAGACCCAACGTGAAATTTACCACACTAACCACTTTTTAAGCGCATGGGCGGGCAGCGTCAGGCGCTTCCACACCGTCGGTACCCGTGACGGCGGCCACCCGCGGTGACCCCGCAGAGGATGGGGACGTGCTGCTTTTCTGGCATACGGCTCTGGCACCAGGACCTGTGCTGGGACCGAGGCACCTGGGAAGACATGGCGCAGTACCCGGCAACCGCTCACCCACCTGTGTCTCCGAACCAGTGGAAGCGGCCCCCAGCGGCCTGGGTGACCTGTCGGTAGGCGGCAGCCGTGTCGGTGCGGCTGGCGTAGCAGGCGGGGGGTGTGGTGTCCATCTGTGGCTCGCCCACGTAGAAAAGACACACGTTCAGCTGCAGGTCGCAGCCCCCACAGGCCTCGGCCATGTAGGCGCTGAGCAGGGGCTGTCGGGGACAGGGGGGTTTGGGGCACAGTGGACGCTCTTGAAGCCACTAGCCTCAGGTCTCTTGAGGGCCTACTGTGTGCCTGGTCTGGTGCCTGGCACCGAGGACAGCAATACGAATGATCTGGGTCACAAGTTCTGTATCTTAACAGGGTGAGGCCGGGGAGCTGGGCCCGAAAGCCTGGCGTCGCCAAGCATCGCAGCCGTCAACATCCCCCGGGAACGGGTCAGAAATGCAGGTTCGCAGGCCCTGGCCAGACCTTCACACCGGGGACGGGCATGTGACCACCCCGCTTCCCGCATGTTCCCCGCACACGGAAGCCGAGTGTGGAAAATCACGCTGACACAGGAGCTGCTCAGGCCCCACCTGGGGGAAGTCGTGGGGCCGTGAAGGATGGGGGCGCCCGGGATGAGGCCTACCCACCATGTCCTGGTCGGGGATGCCCCCCGTGAAGAGGTAGAGGCCCTGCGACTGGTGTTTGTCTTTGTCCTTGAAGTCCACTTCCACGGCCTTGCGCAGGGCGCTGAGGACGTTCCTGCTGGGCCGACACTGCCGGGTGAGGCCAGGCCTGGGAGGCAGGGAGGCCATGCTGGGTGAGGCTGGGGAGGTCGGGGAGGCAGGAAGGCCATGCTAGGGGAGACCATGCTGGAGGAGGCCAGGGAGGCCCAGGGAGGCCCGGGGAGGCCCGCAGAAAGGCGGGAAGGCCTTACTGGGGGAGGCCATGCTGGAGGAGGCCGGGAAGGCCATGCTGGGGGAGGCCCGTAGGGAGGGGCAGGGGCAGAGGCAGATGTTTGCTTATTCGCGCCCATGTCTGCCGGGGGCAGGGATCCTACAGAGCTGCCTCCAGGAGGAGAGGGGCACGGCGCAAAGGGCAGCACCCAGCCCGGCCCCAGACATGGTGGGCGCAGCCCTGCGCGTCACCTACCGCCAGGCGCTCTGTAAGTTGTCCTGGCTCACAGGAACCATCTCGGGCCGCCAGCTCTCGACTGTGCTCCCAAACCTCAGAGGGGAGGGAAGAGGCTCATGCCTGGGCGGAGGCCTCCACTCTGTGCCCGCTCTTGGGGCAAAGGTCTCTCCAGGCTCTCGGGAGGGCCAAATTCTGGCTCCTCTCCCCAGCTGTGAGGGTGGCACGGCCGGGCCCGCCATGGGAGGTCCTTGCCGGTCACATATCCCAGCGCATTCATGGTGCGGGGCTCCCCGTGGAGACAGAGCTAGGGCCAGACCTGGCCGGACCGCCCTCCTGCCACGCTCACGGTGACTCCTGTTGTCCCTGAGACCGTCCCGTCCCCCCGAGAAGGGAGACACTCCTCCCTTTCGACCTCCCCGGCACTGACACATGCTCGCGACACGTTTTTCACTCCCAGCCTGTGCCACAGCTTTTGTTTTGTTTTGTTTTTCAATATGCGTCATCTCGTCTTTCCTCTGAGACAGAATCTGAATCCTCGAGGACTTGTCCCCTTTATCAGAGAACAGGCGACCCCTCTCTGGTGCAACACGGATCCCTCTGTCCGGGCCCTGGACTCCCTCATGACAAGACCACCAACATCCGAGCCTGTCCGTTTGTTTCGCGTCACGCACAATCTCTGCCTCTCACCCCGTATCCATAGGGACCTGACGGTCCTCCCAAGTTCAACAGCACCTCACACCTCCGGGCCTGTGCGCGTGCTGTTCCTGCCCCTGTGACGCCCTCCGCCCACCGCCCACCGCCCCTCACTCCCATGCGCTAGACAAACACCTGCCCGTTGTCATGACTCAGCTCAAGGGTCACTGTCCCCACGAAGACGCCCGGGTGGGACTGACTGGGCCGGCCTTTGGTCCCCCCCCGCCCCATATCTTGCCTGCCACCTTTTCTACAGAAAACACTTCATAGCACTTATTTCCCGACGTGCCTGTCACCCGCTCGTAGGCCGCACGTTCCTCGGGGACAGGTTCTGTGTTTTAAGGTCCGCATCCGTAACACCTAGCACAGTGACGGGTACTCGGCGGGCCGGCCACCAAGGTTTGTTGAATGAATGAATGAGCAGATGGATGGATGGATAAATGAATGAATGAAAACATGGCCTAAAATGTTTCTCTAAGTATTTTTTCTAGAAATTTATTAGGAAAGGATTAGGCTCTAGTATGAGAATATAGAATATTAACTGCCGACTTAATAGTTAGAACACTCCCAATTACATGTGAAAGTTGGTAAAAATGTATAGTTCACGTGGGTTCCTTTTCTCTTTTTTCCCCCTAGTTAATTAAAGTGGTATGCAATTAAAAAATGTATAAAACTATATATATTTAAATTG